AAGGGCGGTTGGATACAGTTCTTCCTGGAGAAATCGGTCATGTTCACCACTGGTCCGTCACTATCCATCAGGCGGGAGCGAGAGACACTCGCGAAGTGCATCACGGATAGATAACGAATCCAGAATCCAAATTTAGATGCCCCTCGCAATATCAGAGGTGTTCCAAGGAGAAGGGAGCCTCAAGCTTGTTGCTCGAATTCAAGAATACATTGTGGGTCCTGACCTTGGGTGTCCGATCTTGTCGTGAATCTGCTTTTCAATGGCTGTCGGCCGAAATGTTGTCGCAGCCCGGGCACGGACCTCTTCAACAGTGATGGGTGCAGCTACGGCTGCATGAGACGGGTCACCCAGTAAGCAGGTTTGACGTTGTAAATGGCTGGCTGTCCAACCATCGCATGTGGATCGACCACCTGAACCGGACTTCCTAAGGAGGGACAGCGGTGTCGATGAACCAACGGTTGCGGTGTGCGTCAGAACGCTGACACTTAATGGTATGTCAAGTGACGATAACGGCGATTCTGCAGGCAGCGTCGACATCCCGTGAAGCGCGTCTGACGTCTCGAACGACGGATTAGCTGGGTTGGAAGACGTGCTTGAAATCACCGGAAGCACGTGCGATGCATCGGCAAGCGACTTGAGTGTATCCGAAGACCAAGTAGACGACTCGGGTGAGGCCATGGATGATGTGCCAGATGAGCTAGCATCGCTAGCGCCTTCAACGGCGTTTGAATCGTCGCAGGTGAGTGACGAGGATCCTCGTCACAGGCCGAAAGAGATGAAGCTACCGGCGATAATAGGTGTCTCTGCGCGTGACACCGCTCGCCATGGCGACGACCCGTCGACGTCGGTGCGAGAGGATGTGCTGGCGACACCAATTTTTGTGGTTGCCCGCGAAGATTTTCACGCGATGGATTCTCTTACGAAACGGATCAACAGCCCCGAGGCCGATACGGAAAAACAGATGAATCGGCGATGGTGCCGGCGTTTGGGCGTCGCTCTTTCGTGGATGATATTTACTTCGGTGGGAACACCTTTAAAAATTGTCTAGGGACGCTTGACCGGCTGCTACTGCGCCTCGAGGAGTGCCGAAGAAGGCTTTTTACCAAGTCAAAGGTGGACTTCCTATCTCATGAAGTATCACGGGAAGGATCTTGCGCCGACCCAAAGAAGATGCAGGCTATTGTGACACTTCCTTTTCCAAAGTCGAAGAAGGGTATGCAGTCGTTTGTGGGAGCGTTGAATTATTACAGCCGCTTCATTCAGGAATTTGCTGTCTACGGAGCTACGTTATACGAGCTCAAAGACACCGACTTTACGAGGAAAATTTGGCAGGGGCGAAGGCGTCCTTTACTATGCTGAAACAGAAGGTCGTCGATGCTCCGATACTTCGACATTTCGATTGAAGTAGGCATGTCTATGTCATGCCTTTCGCGAACGGGTGGGCGCTGAGCGCGACGATGCTCCAGGAACATAAGTCGAAGCTTCATCCTGTAAAAATTACGAGGACGAGTGCTACGCGACGCTGAGATGAACTATCACCCTACAGAAAAGGAATTTCTCGCATTGTTGTTGCTGCTGAAAACGTGTCACACGATGCTCGCTGGCAAGCGTATCCGCGTCTACACAATTTTTTCTATGATGGCGTGGTTAAACAAGTCGAAGACAGTGTTTAGGCGTGTGACTCAATTCGCTGTACTACTAGCGCCGTGGGACTTTGTCGTGGAACGTGTGCCTGAGAAAGACGTGGGGTTCGCCCAACTACTGCAGTTGACTGTAAAAAGCTTCGTCGATCTGGAACCGACGCTGGCACCCGTGCCACCGCCGTCACGAGGTTCGGCGACAGCTCGAATGGACCCCGCTCTTCTTTATGCTCACCTCCCTTGCGACTCCGAACGCTTTGTGCTATCTTATGATGGTTCAGCAAAGAAAGAGATACATGGATACTGCGGAAGCTGTTCGTGGTTCTTATGGCGTCACCCCGAGTGGAAAAAAAGTGATCCCGGCGAGCGCTTTCCTTGCGTCGACGACAGTCATCGTCGCCGAGTACACCGGCATGAGCGGTGGGATGACTGCCGCGGTTAAGCACGTGATTGATGACTTGGTCACACCCCAAAAATCGTCGGCGACTCTAGGCTCACGATCCAGCAATCCTTAGGGGTGATCGGGTGTCGGAAAGAGACGCTACAAACTTAGCAACTACAAGGAGCTGACGGCCGAACTGCGTAGTGTCCGGTACCGGCATGACGTGCACGAGCTCAACGCGGCTGCCGACTCACTAGCGACAGAAGCGCTGGAAGCCAAAGCATCGCTACGGGTAAACGACCCGGCACTACTGACCGATCTACAGGAGCTGCACAAAATCGACCAAGTCATTTACGAAGTTTCGCCTGCCGCAGCGCAGAAAACGACTACGGAAACAAGACGAACGTGGTTAACGACATGTACGTCAACGAAGGAAAATTTTCGAACGTTTCGTGTTAGTACAGACGAGGCGCCAAGCAAAGTCGCGAGCTGAACGGGATCGGATGTCGAACGAAGCATCGCCAGAAGCAATAACAGAAGCTTCGGTAGCCCCTGAAGCGAATGGTGGGTCTGGCGACGCTCCAAGAACAAGAGCGAACGAGTTACAGACCGACGACGTTTGGGAACGGGAGAATCCTTCGTCACTTGACGTAGTTGGACGAAGTCAGTGTGTACTATCGCTGAAGACACCGGTAGAACCACCGGATGTCGTGAAGCAAATGATGCCCACGACGACACCCCGAGCTGGAATTCAGCCGATATATCGACTGACGACGGTTCGGAAACAACACCCTCGCGACAGAGCAGGACGCGACAAGTTCCAAATGAATCGTCACAGGCGGTGCATACAGGTGTTCCAAGAGTCGCAAGAAGTAACCAAACCTCTGGCGATGCTTCCGAAAAGGCTGATTCCATACTGAGACCACATATTGATGGATCCATCGGCTCTCGCCGTTGATCCAGTGGTAGTGCAAGACAAGCGTAGACGTTGCATTGCCGCAACACAAGACGAAGAAGCTCGGCGGAAGAACATCAAAGCTGGCTAGTAGGTGAAACCGCAAAACGATGTTATCGCGAAGCGAAGGAAGCGTGGAAAGGAGCCAATAAGGGCGTGCTGGCCGAGGATTCACTTCTCTACTATGTGGGATCGAGTCGTCGATGGAACAACCCTGAGAAAGAACACCTCGCGATGTGGCTAGTAGGGCCAACGACGATGGTTCAGGAAGTTCTGCAGAATCGTCACGACCCTTTGGAAGGTCGCCACCAAGGTGTAGTCAGAACTTACCAACGGGTGAGGAAAGATTACTACTGGGCAGGTCTCCACTCAGATGTCTAGAAGCATGTGAGGTCTTGCCCAGATTGCAGAACGAGCATGAGCCGACCCCAATTACGTGGCTACTCCCCCGGTAACGTTTTAGCCGAGCGACCATTTCAGGTTGTGCTGATAGATTTCGTCATTCCGTTACCAAAGCGTCGACGAGGTAATACCGCTTTGCTGCTGTTTCAGTGCGCCTCCACGGATTTCGTTATCGCGAAAGCGATAGTCGACACGGCTGCGTTACGAGTAGCACAGGCATTCGAAGTATGTGTGTACCAACGGCTCGGAGTACCGTCTTTGATAAGCCATGACCGTGGCCCTCTGCTCATGAGCGAAGTGAATGAAGCCTTCGCGGAAATAGCGCTATCCCGGTCAAGCGCGACGCCTAGCAATCGCCCACAGGCGAACGGAGATCGGCAAAGTCCGTCATGGCGACAGTGAGGTGTTACATTGAAGACTCGCTGCAACAAGATTGGGACGAACTGGTGGAACGACTCAATTGGTCAACAAATTGATGGACACGACACGAAAAAAAACTGTTCTACCTCTATCATAGCTGATACGTCCAGGCGACGCTGAAAGCAGTTCGACGATCTAACTTGGAGGTGTGAAGCCAATCGACGACAAGAGATTGCGCTGGCCATGGTGAAGACATACCAAGCGTCGAAGAAGGAACGTTAAGCGAAAATACAAAACGAGACGATACGTAGAATGGAACGTAGCTCACTTCGACGAGGACGAAAGTAAGCGTCGAGCGAGCCAGGAGAAAAATAGACACAAGTTGAGGCTCCAACCCAAGCTCGGGCGACGAGTCTCTTCGAAGTCGGAAGTCTTGCGTGGCTGTACATGGAATAAGTGAGACCAGGGTTGGTGAAAAAACTCGACTACCTGTGACATGGTCCATTCCAAATCAAGGCAAAGGTTGAGAAGCTCGCTTACGAGCTCGATCTCCCTGACAATGGAGGGTATCGTTTTCACCAAGTAGGGCATGTGTCTCACCTGAAAGCGGTGATGGATTTCAAGGATAGACCGACAGTGCCTTTGGCTCTGTCGTGGGAGCCGGTGTCTAACTTGTCATGCGGAGGACTGCTGTACGACTATTTTCTCGAGCGAAAAAGAGGTCGACGCTTGCAGATGGTCCAAGTCACCGACGAAGCTTAGTCAAGCGTCGCCGGAAAGAGAATTGACCGTGGGACATCGCAGCCCGCAGTAACAGACGAAGGAAGCTACTGCGGTAAAATATGATAACCTGCATGTGGGCGGTGCAGCCCACCAGTCGCTACTGCACGACCTACGACGAAACACAAAGAAAATTGATTACGTGTATGCATATACGCAAGAAATGAAGAATGACGGCTGCCTACGGAAGTCACTGTGAATTGTCGAGAACAGATTTTATTTCTAGAAACCTCGGCACGAATGGACCCCGCACTTCAGCGATGTTTAGACGACGACATCAGCTGACGCATCGGTGGCAGAGGTTAACAAACCAAGTTGCGAAGCCGGGGAAGCGTCGCGAGAGGTAGGAGCCGTTGACGACGAGGATGGGTTATCTTGAGCTCCTTCTGGCTATGCTTGAGCAGCTCTCGGAGCGGCAACAGCGCCCATTCACGATCCCATACAGCGACGACCTCAGAAGAAGTCACAAAAGCGTCGGTGATTATCTGTCAGCCGACAGCGTCGCGTGCCAATCGTGCGAAACGAACAGCCCCATCGAATGATTGCCCAGATCGTACGTCGTGTTGTACGGGTGGAGGTGAGGCATCGCCAACCAACGGTTGTACCACGGCTCAGCAGCATCCAAGGTGGCGACCAAAGCTTTTCAATACTCGCCGGCGGGTACGCAAGTGAGCCGCTCCAGAGACATCACTGGGACGGACGGTTCGAAGACAAGCTCAGGAGGGATCGGCTGCTGACTCTCAGTGCTCGTCGACGATCCTTTCACCCTGATACTTTCGCTTGTAGTGGATCCAGAGGATGTCGGGCCGTTGCTTGCGATGCTTCAAATAGACGTTTTATTCTACGAGGATCGCTTTGCCACCTCCGAGTTGGACGCCGAGTTCCGAAGCATCGCCCGGTCCATGTCCCGCACCACATGCTGAAAGACTCTGTGGTGACACTTCTACAGCGCAATCGCTAGCACGAGGGTCCCAGTACGGCTGCGTAAGCATCACCAGATGTGAGAGTAGCGCAAGCCGATGGGAGCACGGCGAGATGCATTGCCGTACTGTCGAATAAACATGCCTGGTCCGGCAACTGAAGAAGGTACGCGTAAATGGGGTGACGAAGGTCATTGAGGTTTCCAAACGCGATTTTACTCCCGACGCTGCATGGAGCAACGGCGTTGCCCCGGATTGGCGACGGTACGCTAGCGCAGATCAACATCCAGCACCATCGAGCAGATCGCTTGTGAAACCGGAGGTCGAAAACTGGCGTCGACGACGTCGAAATCTTCGCCGACAAACGCTCGACGGGCCAGACACCGTGGGTCGGCACTGGGATGGAGGACGACGGAACAGTTTGACGATGTTCGAAACATGGCGAGAGCGTCGACACGATAACCATACCAGGGTAGGATCGAGTTTGAGCTGCCGACGACGCTTCGCTGCCATCGTGAGGAAGCGATGCAGTAGCCGCAGTCGCAGGGGCAGGCGTAGACGACGTCCCACTAAAGAGTGAGTTGACGCTACATGCAGAGAGCTCGAGACGGGTAGCGAAGTATTGACGATTACCTCGCAAGACATCTCTTCGTATTTGTCAGCAGATGGAGTTATTGGCAGCGACGGTCCATCTTTACCTTCGATGATTACAGGAGTGTTCCTGAAAACATCGCTGCCCGACGCAGACCCTTGCTCAGCCACCAGTGACGACTTAACCATCGACCGCTTTCGACGATTGACGACGCGGGGTGGACCGAGTGCTGGACCCAGAATGTGGCTGTGAGGGCCGTCGCTTGTCTTGCTTGGAGAGCACGGGAAGCGGTGCTTGGGTCCTGTGCACCGGCGACTTGTCGCCGAACATCGCTGAAAGGTACCGACGTGGCCCCACCTGCACAGATGCGCCAGCTGAGCCGCCCTTGCCCTGCGCGGGCTTCGTAGGAAGAAGCGAAGTATCACCAGAGGTCTTGGGTGTCTGGGTCGACGGGGCCGTAAAGCTTGAAACCATCGGCGATGAATTGAAGAGTGAACTTGTAGTGCTCGGAGCTGCAGATGACGGCGGTGTCTCGTGAGAAGTCGACGACACGGCCGGACGGACTGGCGGCAGCTGGACGGTCGCACTAACCGGAGATCGGGGAGTGTTGGGCGCAGAGATGGGACTGGATGCTGCACGACGCTTCTTCACGTTTGCCTTCTTGAATGTGTTCTTCCAGGCCATCGGTTTGCAAAGTCGACGGCGCTTTGAAGTGGCGGCTCGCTCTCCACGCCGGGCACATCCACTAACACAGCGGCTGTCGCCGGACTTGCGTCTGCGACGACAATTACTGGAAGTGTCAGTCGACGAATTATTTGACGTTTCACTTGGGCTGGGGCTGGAGCGTTGCCAAATGCGCCGACGCTTGCTCGAGTTCTCGGTGCGATGTTCTGCTTCCGCCACGTTGAATTCAAGGGGTGTAGGGGTGTGTGGACGCCGCGTCAAGCTCTTGAAGCTGGCGCAGGACGTCGATAGTCGACTTGTCGAGCTGCAGGAGTGAGAGGTGGATGTCGCGTGCGGCGATGCCTGTAAGGACAAAGAATCGACGATGGTCAGAACAAGTCAAACGTATAAAACAAATGCGAAGGCGAACCTACCGTGGCAAGGAAAACGTGAAGGCAAACCTTCGGTGACCAGTACCAGAATGTCAGCGTCCAGAGCTCGGAGGCTAACCTGCCGACGAAGTATCCCGCTCGAACGCATCAGACGCTCGATCCGATCGTGTTGCGTAGCCACCTTCGTCCTGCAGTACTGTATACTGTACATTGGTATTTTTTTCAAAATTTCGGCAATTAAACCAAACCAAATATGTTTTAGATTTTTATTGGCTCAAATGGTTCTTTTGACGTGCACTTGCCGTTGCAACATGGTCGCGCGATGATAGTCGCCGCCAGTAACTAAATGGGTGGTTATCGTGGTGCTTGGACACGTGCTGAAGACAAAGATGTTTAGCTACACGAATCCAAGTTTCTTGAGCTCGGGAAGGGAGATCTTTGTTCGCAGTGCAGATTCGCAATCCAGTCACTAGATTATCAAAGACAAGCAATCAATGGTTTTCTCTCTTTCTGCGCGAGCGAGTCAGATACTGCGGAAGAATGGCAGCAGCTTAAGTTGTTTCATCCTACGAAAATATGGCCGCAAGGGTGCCCCAAGTTCAGTGTTGGCAGATCTTCTGGTCAACGTATACTCGTCCTCTGCTTCTACTGCTGGTGTAAAACATCAGCCTAAAGTTGGAAAGCGGATCCACTGTGTTTAGAGGACCTGACTCAGCACTGGGATGGCAGAAGAACAGGTCGCTATTGCGCATAACGCAGTTGTCGCAAAGATATAGATACCGTCCGAACGACAGTCTTTGAGCAACGAATGGTCTCCGAAATAATCGAGAAAGCAGAGCATTTGAATGGTGTTATCCGAGATGAGGCGCCAACAGACGAGGACAACGGAGTTGTCGACGACGATTTCAGTGACCTAACGGAAGCTGAGCTGATGGGGCAGCAGACCCTGAATGTTACATTGGCGTCTGTGGCAGCTCTTTCCCAGACTCACGATAACTTCTGTTTACGGAGGCCACGGAGTAGCAACTACAAGAGCGTAGGATAAAAGAAGTAGTAGCAGTAGAAGAAGTAAGAATAGTATTATAGCAAGTACTACTGTAGTGCATGTGATACAAATGTATATTGGTTTAAAACCCAAAACAGGTTAAAACAAACGAATAAAACCGGTTTTTAAACCCGTTTTTCTCTTTAAATCTAAAAACCAACCCATCCGTAGTCCGTAGTCCGTCGTCCGTTACTTGAGTGAGGGGCATCCAGACATGGCGCTTACTCGTCCACCTTATTACACCCACTGCCAATGCCGTATGCATGCTCGCCGGACTACCCAGATCGGCCACTTCCAGCCACGGTCACGAAAGAAGCTAATATGCTCCAGTCTCGGACTTAAAGAGAACTTATCGGCCCATTACGGTGGCTATTAAGACCTTGTAGAGAGTTCACATGCATCACAAAACGTTTGCTCTACCGAGGATCGTGCCTTCGAATTGTGAAGACAGTAGCCGAGAGCCACAACAAGAGCGATGCGCTTTCGCATATTCTCGATCTAATTAATTTGGTGCTCTCTCGTCATTCCACCCGTATCTCGTCATTTGTAGACTAGCTTATCCTCCCTTCCTTCTCCTATCCCGTCAATGCTCTCAGCCATTTTCGCGCCGCTCAGTCGGAAAATGCGAATATGACACCTCTAACAGCCTCAACCAGTCCTCCCTCTCTGTGACGCATACGGCTATATACCGCGTATTTGCAAGCCCGCTCATCATAAGCCAATCCGGTTACATCGCTCACACCTTCGCATATGCATTGTTCATACACCTACTGACACCCTTTTACGCGGTATCACATACTGTCAAAATCGATTATTGCAAAATACACCTTCTGATGATATTATTACCATTTGGCAGACCTTTGGTGTACCCATACACGTGTTGACATTTTCCCGTAGTTTGATTGAAACCGAGCGCCGCCGCTACGCGGCGGTAATTTAGGTTTTACTCTAGATTTTTGCCTTCCCGCCTTCGGTTCGCTTTGGCGGGATAATTAGTCCAAATCCTCTGAGTCCCCCATGTGCCTAAATCGACTTCTTTAATTTCATAAATCTGCGTTTCTTTTGCTACAAAATGCTGAGTTCCCAGTAAGCCGTGTAAATATTTCTACCGGTACAAAAGACTGAGACCCTAGTATCATACTTACCATGCTCATAAACGATTACGCTAGTGATTTTGGCAAAGTCTCTTTATTGTTGTGGCGATCACTGTACCTTAATCTTCCACCCAGAAGCACCTGCACTTCAGTCTAAAAACGCTAAATAATATATTTAGTTTAGAGTCGTGCTCGATTTCACGGGCCGTTTCTGAAACCTAGATTGCAACAATGCAAAGAATATCTGTTCAGCTTGCACCAAATACCCGCTTGTACTGCCTGGTTAAGCTTGTAGTAAACTGACTATTAACCACTTCGCATACCAAACTCGCTACTTTGAAAGAAAATTAAAAGTGTTACAGTTTGAATATTTAACAAAAATATTCAAGCTGTAGCATTTTCTTATGCATTGAAGTGTGTTCATTTTGTGCTGATTCAATATTAGTCATTAGACACTCCAATCTGTGCCTGTTATGGTTATAGCCTTTGGATATAACGATGCGTCGCACGACGCCTTGCTGCTGTTGTTGTTGACGGCGGTATTTTTTTTGATACTTAAATGATGATTCCAGGATGATTAAACGTAGATTAGGCTCTAAGTTGATTAACGTTTCTTTACAGGCCTACTTATAATAACCATAATGTACACCTCTCATGTTGTGTTGTTATCTTACCGCTGCATGTTAAACGTTATTCTACGCCCTTGTCGGCAACGCGTCTGCCTATTAAGAAGTATCAGAATTTTGTTGTCTAAAAAAACGCTTTGGAAACAATACAGTAGTAATTGTCATCAGCACATATAACTTCTTTTTGCTCACACGTCAATCTAAAACTATCTATCTTTGTGGATCAAGTGACAACGTTTATAAGCACAGCTTTGTTCTTACGACCAGTCCACACGACCGGCTACTGCTGTATATGTAACATGTACTTCCTCCGTCCGAAAAAATAAGCAGGATAGGCGGGCAAAATTAATTTTAAGAACAGAAAACCTTTAAACGAGCAGCTGATTGGTCTTAATTGCTGGTTAGCTTACGGCAATTGTTTTGGTCGACGTTTGAAGCAAATCGGCCACCTGGTCGCAAAGTTATCGTTATGCAAAGTTCGTGGTGAAGATGTGATATTTGAAAATCTTTCGCCAGGATGTCAATTTTACAAGAAATGTCATAGAAACCTGTAGAGATGTAGCACGTGAGATTCTCTGCTGAGCGGTGCCGTGTAGAGTGCCTAAATATTTCTACGGTCTCGTTTGCAGCGGCAACAGCATTTGTATGGGAGTACTTAGGTGGAATTCGACACTACTATCAAATGACTTGAATTTGTAAGCATGCCGCTTTTATTTTCGGACACGGTTTAAACAGATGCCCCGCTTATATTTTCGGACAGAGGAAGTACGATTTAGCAATACCAGAAACCCACTCAGATAACTTATTAATTGTAACATTTTTACAATAATTTTTTTTTGAAATTATCATTTTAGTCGGTTTAACTCGCAGATCCTACTGAGTACAGAATATTTAGTATACTTAAACCATGTCCTCGGAAACACGCATGCTTACGTGTACGCTAAGCACCCTGCCCTCCGTTTAGTACTCAAATATCGATGTATTATGAAAAAGTATATAATATTAAAACGATGCCGTCTTCGGATAATGTATTTGCCTTGTGCAAATCCCCATA